TGGGTGTACCGCGTCGCTCAACCGCCCTGTATTTATGCAGCAGCAGCAGCAGCAGCAGCAGCGCTTGAAGGCTTGCGCCAGCAGAAGGCCGAAGTAGTCGTGTCTCTTCATGTGTCGCCTGCCCCTCCTTTCTTTGGCGTTGCGAGCCCGCACACAAGCGTTCTGCCGGGTGTATCTTTGGAAGGGAGTGAAGCAGGTGACATTTTTTGAGGGGGAGGAAAATTAATCATTTGTGGTTTCGTTTGGGGTTAAGGCGTGAGTGTCTTCGTTTGCTTTTCAGATGCACAGAGAGAGAGGGGGGGGGGAGGGAGAGGGGACAGAGGCAGAGGCATACATACACATACAGTTTTACAAGGGGAGCGGGGAAAATTTGTCACTGTGAGTGGGTTTTCATCTCCGTTTTGGCTTGCCCACCTGTATTTTTCCTTACTATTATTTTTTTTATTTTGTTGTTGGCTATTCTTTTTCCCCTCCGTGCTGTATTGGCACACACGCATGCGCAGAGGTCAATAGGAGGCGCGGTGGCAGTGGGTGAAGCGAGATTAGGAGAAGCAAATAGAGCGGAGTAAGGCGCGGGTCCATGGCGAAAGAAACCGAGTATTATGAGATCCTAGGTCTGAGTGTGGATGCCGTTGACCACGACATCAAACGGGCGTATCGCCGCCTCGCGTTGAAGTACCATCCGGACAAGAACCCCGATGACAAGGAGGCGGCGGAGATGTTTAAGCGGATCAGTCACGCCTACGAGATCCTCAGCGACGAGGAGAAGCGGCGCATTTACGATCAGCACGGCAAGGCGGGGCTGGAGGGTGGCAGCATGGGCGACGAGGGCCTCGACGCTTCCGACATCTTCTCCATGTTTTTTGGTGGGGGACGACGTCCACGCGGGGAGCGGAAGCCGAAGGACCTTGTGCACGAGCTGCGAGTCTCACTTGAGGACCTGTACAATGGGAAAACGCGGAAAGTCTCCGTCACGCGTGATCGGCGCTGCGATGTGTGTGAAGGCAACGGCATCAAACCCGGGGCGGAGCGTCGCACGTGTGTTGCCTGCCACGGTCAAGGCGTTCAGACGTTTGTGCGGGAGTTATTCCTTGGCATGCATCAGCGCATACAGCAGACGTGTCAGAGCTGCGGTGGGGAGGGCACCACGGTGCGGGAGGTGGACGTCTGTGTCCGCTGCCGCGGTGGCCGCATGGTGAAGGATCAAAAGGTGCTCGAGGTCCACATTGAGAAGGGAATGCGGCACCAAGACGTCGTGCGGTTTGACGGGGAGGGTGACGAGGTAGTTGGCATGCGTCTTAAGGGAGATGTGCTTATCATCTTGGCGCAGAAGCCGCACGACGTCTTCCGCCGCGTCGGCAACCACCTTCTCATGAACTACACCATCAACCTGCAGGAGGCGCTGTGTGGATTTGAGCTCCCAGTGCAGCACCTCGACCGGCGCATGAGGCTGATAAAGATCCCGTGTGGGCAGGTGATAGACCCCGAAGCTGCGTGGGTGGTGCGGGGAGAAGGAATGCCGCTGCCGAACACAGGCGGACTGAGTCGTGGCAACCTCATCATCCACTTTGAGGTGGAGTACCCGACGCAGCTGAGCATGCGACAGCTGAAAAGCATCGCCGCCGCACTCGACGCGAAGGAGACGCTCCCGCGGGTCAGTGGGCAGAAGGTGGTGTTGAGCGACGTGGGCCGGCGCCAGGCGCATGGGCAGAGCGGGTCGGCGCGTGCCTCGGCTGCAGCCCGGCGGAGGCAGCGACAGATGCAGATGCCCGCAGGCGTAAACGAGGATGGCTTTGCGGCATTTCATGGCGGCCCCTCGGGCACGCAGACGGTGCAGTGCGCACCGCAGTAAGTATTCCAGGCACCTCCGCCTCTGCGACGTACTGTGGGGGCTTGGGGGAGAAGAAAGAAAGTAAGACAAAAAGAAAAAAAAATGAAGGTCGAAAGAATTATGGCAAATAAAGGGGGAAAAAAAGCAGGAGGAACTTAAGTGTGGGGTACATAAACATAGAAGCTTTCTCTACCTGGCATTGGGGCGGAGGGATGGGGAAGAAGCTGCGGATAAATAAATGAAGGAGCGGCAGGGCGCGTGTGAGCGATTCCTGAACTTCAAAGCACATGTGCATTGCCACGCACGTACAAGAAGAAAAAGAAAAAAAAGAATATGCGTTTCTGTTGTTTTTTTTTTTTTGCCCATTGCGTTGATTTTTTCCTTCTCGTTACTACCGCGACTGGTGTTTCTGTTGTTTTTTTTATTTTCCTCCAGATCAATTATGCCCCCCACCCATCTCCCTGTTACGTTTCCGCGTTTGTCCCTCTCCAGGCGGCAATGGCACCAGAAGCGACTAAATAAATATATTTATTGTCGTGTGTGTATTATCTCGTCGTTTGTTTATTCCTATTTATTCATGCTTGTATGTGTCTCCCTCCTGGTCCATCTATACGTGTGTGTGCATATATCCCTCCCTACCTCTGTGTGGAAAATGTGCCGATCCTCCTTCTTTCTTATGTCCGGTGAATGAACCGACATTCCTGGCATTCCCGCCCCTCTCCTCGTGACGGGGCGTCCACATCTCAAGAAGGAAAAGAAGCAACCAACAAGGATATATATATATATATATACGCATACATACATAGAGGGAGCTTTGCGTTTGACTCCACTCACGCACAGGGCGAGCGGGTGAGTAGGAATGTTTGCAGGACAGCCTCTGTGGGTGCCACTGGCGACGCACGTCCCGGTGTTTGTGGAACGCTTTACTGCTTTCAAGCAGGCGTCGCCGCACACGCAGCAGATCCTGGATGCCCTCAAGTACCGCCCGGAGGATACCCGTGTGCTACTCGCGCCAGATGCGCGGGTGAAGGGGCGTCAAGTGACGTATGCGATGGCGTTTCCTCTCACCGTCACGGCTGCCGCGTGTGAGGCACAGGGCGGGGGCATGATGGGAGCTGGGGCGTTCACCTCCCTCCTAGACTCGACCACATCTGTGCACGTCATGGAGCGCCTTTCACCCTCCAATGATGCCCACGTCTCGGTGAATATGCAGTCGAAATGTCTGCGTCCCATCCGACTCGGCGACACGTTGACGCTGATTAGTCGCGTGGAGAAGATGGGGGCCCGAGTCGCATTCATGTCAGCTGAGTTGTTACGTGACAGGCCTAGTGGCAACGCGCCTCCGGGGGAGGAGGAGGAGCCGCCGGCAACCTCCATAGAAGAGATGGAGCATTTTCTCCGACGTTTTGAGCGTCTCGCCTATGGAAGACACGTGAAGTGCCTCCTTCGCTCCAAATAAGAAATCTGCTTTTTCCCAACCCATCCCCCACCCCCGTAGAAATAAAAATGAAAAACAATGGCTGGCAGATACTTTTCACTCTGCCTGTCTCTCTGTCTGGGTGTATTGTTCACATATTTATATATAATATATACGGCCGCATGTACACACCTCATCCCTGTGTTGCGGGTGCGTGCACGGCACATGAAGTGGCGGTGGTTCCAGTCCGCCTTGCTCCTTTTGCCCTTGTTTTATTTTTGTTGTTTGTCTGCGTGCCGTTACTGGTGAAGGGGTGGGGAATCCTGTGGGTATCCGACGGCACACGCACAGCGCGAGGGAAGCGCAACAACGAGAGTAAAACGGGGTGAAGCAAAAAGCGGAAAAAAAACACGGAAAAAATAAGACGGGCGGAGGCATGACGGCATCGCTGGAGGGTGTACAGTGGAGACCTGTGCTGCAGGTGTTTCCCAACTACGTGAACATATGTGCCCACCTCCGCAGCGTTGACAAGTTTGGCACCCGACTGCTGGAGGAGCAACTGCTCCTGAACCAAAATCACGTGTGTGTAGCGATGAAGCCCATCCCCAGTACCCTGCCGCCGGGACCGCAGCAGAACTTCCCATACGCTATGGTGTGGCCCATCACCATCACCAGCGCGGTCACGGAAGCTAGCGGCGTTCTCTCGCAGGGGGCGGTGCTTGCCTTGACCGACATGCTAACCTCCCTCCATGTGATGTTGGCCTTCATGCCAACGCCTGTCGGGCACGTCTCGGTGTCTATGCAGAGCAACCGCATGCAGATTATTCGGGAGGAGGACACCATTTTAGTCATCACACGCATTGATAAAATGGGCAAGCGACTGGTTTTCACCACTGCAGAGTTTATTCGTTCGATGTTGCCTGCCACGGCGCAGTTCGACTTCGCTGAAATTGGAATAGACGCGGCGACTCGGTGCTACTCCCTCTGTGGCAACGTGAAGCACATCAAGTCAGTGTTGTCGCCAGGTATCAGTACAACAAAGTAGAAGAAGCTGGGGGAGGGGGTGGGGGGAGAATACACGTGACCGGGGAAGGTGGAAAAAAAAAAATGCAAGTTTGGGTGTGTGAGTGTGTGCCAGGGAACGAAACTTGGGGGGTGTTGCTGCGTTGCATGTGAGTGAAGGGGAAGTTCTGCCGTGGCACAGAGAGAGAGAAAGAGAGACTGTTATTTGTATCTCTGCCTCTCTCTGCTTTTCTCTTCCTCGATGGACTCTGATGAATGTTTTTTTTTTTTTTAGTTGTATCTTTGTTTTTTGTTGTTGGCTTTTGCCTGGAAATCTCGGGCGGTATTCCTGCTGGTGCTGGCGTCATTAATTCTCTCTTTCTCTCTCTTGCAACGGTGGTAGCAAAAGAAACAACGAGGGGAGGGGCACACAGGCGAAGGTAGTGAGGAGCGGAGGCACTGTGAGAAAACGGTGGCACGCAATGAACCCCAAGTCGAGGCGGCCGCTGACGAAGAGCGAGTCGGCGAGTGACCTGCTGGGCAGTACGTTGGCCGCACTCGACACCGTCATCTCAGACGCGCAGCGGCACGATGCGGGGAACGCCCCTCAAACCGGGAAAAAACGACAGCGCGGCGGTGATGTTTTCGCTGCCATGGCGGAGCCGCACCTCCACACACTCCAGTCGCTTGTCGTGAGTTACGGTGTGCAGCTGCTGCCCTCGGTCGACGCGATGGTGCGGCGGGTGTTGTTGGCGGTGGCGTCTCCTACCACAGCGAATACCGCCGCTTGGGAGCTGGCGGCGCTGCTCGGAACGTATTTTAGGGGAGGTGTCGTGCGTTTGCTGGAGGAGCTGATGGAACTGCTCCTGAATCAAAAGGGCACTTTCCTGCTCACAGCGCCGTGCGTAGTTGGGCTGGCGAGGGCGGCAGGGGCAGGGGCAGGGGGCGAATCAGAGGCGGAGGACGAGGATGAGGACGACACGGCCGGTGTTCTGCGGCGTTTGCACGCCTTTGAGGAGCTGCTCCTCGCAGTGGGTCCATGCATGAGCGCCTCTTTGATGCAGCGGGCAACGCTGCGCTTCGCCCAGGAGGTTGTGACGCGCGGCATCCTCGACGCCCCACCCCCCGCTCCTCGGGTGGACGGCGGCAAGCCCAGTCGCGGCAAAAAGGGGAATTTAAACGCCACTGACATTAGCAGCAGTAATGATAATAATAATAGCAATAATAAGCGCGGCACCCAGCAGCAGTCAACGGCCTCCGCCGCCGCGTTTAGCGTTGCGGAGGCGGTGCAACCCCGCTGTGTGGAGCTGCTTACGTCATTCCTCCTGCTGTGCCGCCCGCTGCCTGCGGTGGTCTCGGTGTGCGCGGTGCGGGTGCTGCGGGAGCTGCCTGTGCGGCCAATCACAGTGCGACACCGGCGTGAGCATCAACATCTGCTGCGCGCCGTTTCACGGCTTTCCGCAACGCTGACGGCGCTGCGACACCCGCACGCGCTCCCCTTCTATCTGCCGCCGATTGATGTTGTGGAGACGCCAACGCGGCGCGTCACGACAGACGCGTCTTTAAGTGACATTGAACAAGCGACAGGGGTTAATAACCCCCATCCACCCCAGCCGGCTTCTTCTCTTTCTCCTGTGGGGGCGACGCCGCAGCCCAGTGAAACGCGGAATCCGGCGGCGGTGGAAACATCTGCCTGTGCTCGCTCTGCTGAGTCCTCGTCACCGCGCCAACCGACCCGAGCGGTTCAGCTTCAGCAGCAGCATTCGTTTGTGGAACCCGAACGAAACAGCGGACAGGAAGTGCTCTTAGCAGATGTGCCGCTACAACAGAAGCAGCCGAAGCAAAAATGGCAACGGAACACACCAGTGGTGCCGCCACCTCCCGCGGCTCTCGCCGCCGATGAAACGGATGACGATGATGACATGCCTGACATCGACATGGAGGACTGACAGGGGGGGTGGGGGGAGGGGGGAAGGTGGAGAAGAAGAAGCAGTAGGAAAAAGAAAACAAAGACGTAGCACTTGGCGCTCAGTAAATTAACACGCCTGCCCCGACTGGCACGAGTAAGTCCTCCGACATGCATGCATACATAACGTTGGACGTAGAGCCGCGTCTGGGGGTGAACTTGACACCACCACAGCTCGCTGCAGAGTGGTCACAGTGGCCCCACAGCAAGTAGGCACAAGAGGAGGAGAAGAAACACTGGCAATACTGCGTCTACTGTGTTGCTTCTTTTTTCTTTATTTCTGCATTTTTCTTTCTTGCCACTTCTGGTGTCCGTGTGCGCGAAACACAGGAATTGTTTCGGCTGAGCAGCAGGACTAGTTGCCTACTTGGAGGAGCGAGCGAGAGAGAGAGAGAAACAAAACAAAAACAAAAAAGATAGATGCCTCTTCAGCTCCTGGCGCAGCAGTACCTGCCCATATCTCCACGACACGTGAGTCTCCTGACGACGGACGGTAGTGGGGGGAATCCGGCGGCTGTGGTTGCCGTGTCGTCTGCCTTTGACCCGCTCAATCGTGTCTTTTTTCTCGAGTGGGACGACCCAATGGAGGCGGCGAGCTTCCGCCTCTCCCACGTCTCTGTCCCAGGCAGCAGCGTGACTGCAATTGCCCTCATGCTGTCTTCCGAGGGCGTGGTGCACTGCGTTGTGCAGGGCAGGGAGGGAAATGGCAACGGCGTGGGCGATGGCGGTGCCACCGCCGTCTCGTACGTGTACCGTCGGACCGAAAATAGTGACGAGGACAGTTATGACGAGGATGGTGGAGCAGCAGTGACGTACCGAAAGCTGCCCAAGGCTGTGGAGGATGATGGTAGAGGCTGGACAACGGCTTTGCACCTTCATCGCGGCAGCTGCAGTCGTCTTGTTGGCGAGGGCGGTGAGGGTCGGGTTGTGGTGGCATGCGGAGGTGAACGGGGGGAGGCGAATGCCTTGAAGCTGCTGCGCCTAAGAGGCACGCGAATGGCGGTTCAGCAGACAATTGAACTTCCGGCGCTGTCTACATTTCCTGTGTTGCAGCTGCGTGAGATAGACGGCGACGCCGCCTCTGTCCTGGCACTGTGCCACCATGCCGTTCTTGAGGTTGACACCCGCCTGAAGCAGAGCGACAGTGTCGTGCGTGCGTGGAAATGGACGCCGCATGATCCGCTTATTGCCCTTGCCGTGAAGGACAACTCCATTGTGGCGGGAACGGAGGAAGGTGTTCTTGTTTTGTGGGATCTGCGTCTCTCGGCGGTGCGCGAGAAGAGCAGCGGGACGGTGGACCACAGCCCCCCCATGTGGCGCCCCGGTGACCGGGCTTCACATGCCGTACAGCATGGGCCTGTTGTCGTGTCACGCAGATGGTTCTGTTCTCACGTGGGACAGGCGCACCACAACTGACGGCGTCTTTCGCTTCTTCCCGAGCCCTACCGATGCGCTGCCGCCCGTTTTTGTTGGGACTCCCGGCTGCGTGACACTCGCTGCCGAGGAACATCTCGCGGTGGTGGCGGACGAGTCCGGGACCCTCAGCGTGTTCGCCATGTCGTAGCGGGGAGACGACAATACGCAGATACACAGACAGCCACAGACAAGGGAGGAAAAGAAGAGAGAAGCGAAAATAGTAAAAAGAAAAAGAATGGTTGAGGTGCTGTTAAACACACATATACACGCATATATACGTGTATATGATGCCGCTGTGGCCACTCTGTATCTGCCACATAAGCAACTGCGCTCAGCTCACTGCCGCTGGACCTGCAGTCGATATAACGTGCTTGAAATGTATTTGCCTTTTTTTCTTTCTATTTTTTTTTCCTTGACATGTATGTATATACACATGCCCCTTTTGCACTGGAGGTTTCTTTCTGCTGGTGTGTAGGCTGCGGTGCAGGTAAGACGCGAGGAGCTTTCTACCCTCCACCCCCCTCCTTCCCATGCAACAAAATGCCTGGACACTGAATGGCACCTCCGCCGGGTCCGGCACGCATGTCACGTACGACAGGCCTTTGGCGGTGGCGAACGAAGATTACGCCGTGCTGGGCGGCGTGCTGGGCGGTCTTTTTTTGGCGGCGGTGTACGTGCTCACGCTGAAGATTATCGATGTCTGCTATCGTCGAAAGTATCGTCGCGGCCCCAAGTACGATGGGGTCCCCTTACCCCTCGGACAACCGAGGTCGGGGATACATATATCACCCGGATGGTTCCCCTCAGTGAGGCACCAGGTTTCGATTGGTTCTACTGGCGACGGCGGCGCCTTTTCACCACGCTCTTCCACGCAACGGCGAGTCCGCTTTGATACGGAGGCACTGGATCGCGTAGGGAACGATACTGCCCTGGAGCTGTGGAGGGTCGATGGGCAGGCCATCGATGCTGGCAGGCGAGATGGTAATAATGAAACGGAGTGGAGTTACACCCGTGGAGAAGTATACGACAACGTCCCCTCCCCACAACCCACGGCCCCGCCCAGGCAATGAGACACCGTCGTAGCCCCTGCAGTAGAGCAGTGTAAAGTGCATTGTACGGTTTGCTTGGCGTTTTCTTTGTTTTTGTTGAATCCACCCAACCGCACCTGCTGCTACCGCCTCTGCAACAGTAACATACTCTGAATGATGTTGGTGTTGCCTGTCATCGTTTCTTGTTCTCCATATTTCTCCTTTTTGTGTGTGGGTGTGTGTGTTTTCCCTCGTTTCTGCATGCTTTATATCCACCGGCCAGCGCTTACACTTCTGTATTGGGCTCTGCTGGCTGGGTTGTAGGGGAGGCAACTGCTGTAGAGTTCTTTTATTTTTCCTTTTGAAAAGGTGGTTACTATACATGGAGTGGTTCTGGCAGGATGTGCCACCGCCCGTTGCGCAGCCACCGTGTGAGACGTGGGTGGCGGAGTCTGGCGATGCATGCGCAAAGGTGTTGATGAACACCGACACGACGGACAGGGCCGGAGATTGCATGCGGCCGTCGATGACAATCACAAACGCTGAGGAGGACGAAGAGGAGGGGCGGGGGAGCTCGCATCCGGTCATGTACATTTCCCCAGACGTGGCTGACGTGGTGCGGAAATCGTCGCGGGAGTTATTCCACTCCCTGCTGCGGAGCTCGAACTCCACACAGAGCTCGGCGCTGCTGCAAGGCCCCCCGCTCGCCATCACGTGGCACAGGCCTACAACACCGTCTCCGCAGCCATCCGTTGCGCCTTCAGCATTTAGACCGCTGCCACACACGAAGCGCACGCGTGAGGCGGCCGGGTTGTCAGAGGTCTCATCGGATGGTGGCTTGGAAGCGCGGGCACTTTTCGTGCGTGGAGGGGCGCACCCCAGATCTCTGTGTGCGGCAGCGAGGCAATGGAGCGTCGAGGGTGATGACCAGCTCACCGCACACGACAAGACTGAGCCGGCTAAGAGTTTGCAGCAAACCCCTCGGTGGACGTCAACGCGAAAGAGGCCGCGTGAGGAGGAGGAGGAGGAGGAGGAGATGGGAGTTGATGCCCACGACGCGGCCCACGAGCGGTATGTTTACGGGCGCTAAACGTTTTCAATGAGCTCTTATCTCGCTCTGTCGCGCGAGCCGCGGAGTTCGGTTCTATGGCAGCAGGTGGTGGTGGTGATTGTTTTGGGAAAAGGTGTGAAAATTGTTTCTTATCAGAATCTGGTCGTTTGTTTGTTGGCCTATTTAATTATTTGTGTATATGTATCTCTCTCCCTCTCTCTCCCTCTGTGCCCCTTGTTTGGCATGCGGTGTTCCTATATTCGTTAATTGTTTCTGCTATGGGCCTTGTTGATCTCGCGTTGAATCCACATCTGCGTTCCGTCCTGCCGCTGCGTGGCGTGCCATGCGTGATGGCTTCTTCTCACATTCCCTGTTTTGTGCCTGTGGCTGCAGGTGGGATTCTGTGCGGGGACAAAAGTGAAGGAAAAAGAAAATAAAGTAGGAAATCCGTGTGGCAGACTGTGAACCTGCAGAATGCAGCATAGTGGTCACATCACTGAACAGAATAAGCTACTTGATCAGCTTCATTCCTCCGTGATGAATACGCGACACTACGCCGTCTCAATTGGAGACGATCTCCGCGAACAGGATGGCATGTTGGATGATCTTCACTCCGGAGTAGCGCATGCAGCGGATGAGAGTCGGCGTCAAAACAGCAATGTAACGCGGCTTCTCTGGGAAAGTGAGGACAGGGGATTCTGTGTGGCCGTCACTGTGCTGCTGTTGATTTTGCTCCTGCTGATACTAATTTAGGAGACGGAACAGCAATGACGTGTGTGTGTGTGTGTGTAATGGGGGGAAGTGGAAGGGAGGGTGGAAAACAACGGGGGTGGTGCGTGCCTCACTGCTGCCTCCTCAAATATCCCTTGCGGAGTCATTCAGTGATGTTTGGGAATCGATGGTGCTAAACGCATTCGGCCCGCCTGCCCTGTATTTCTTCTTTTTGCTGCGATGCTGCGCGGGGTGTTGGATGTCGCCTTTTTTCCTTCCGCCACGCGTTTATCGTTTTTTTTTTTTTTTTTTTTTTTACTTGCCGGCTGTGATGCACCCGTGGGGGGTTGCCGTCTTTCCTCTTTGCTTTTCCCCCTGTGGGTATTTGGGGCGATTCTACGCAGTCAGGTGCATAGCTAGGTGAAGCGGTTCCGCAGCAGCAGTGGAAGGGAAGGGGAAGACAAAGCAAAGAAAAAAATATGCGCCGGTCGCTCTTGTTTCTGGTGAACTTTTCGCCGCTCTTCATGCCGGCTCTCTCGCCCTCGATGGAAACGGGCGTCATCGTGGAGTGGAAGAAGAAGGTGGGCGACCTCGTCGGGGAGAACGACGTGTTCTGCACAGTGCAGACTGACAAGGCGATAGTGGACTACACAAACACCTTCGACGCCGGCTACCTGGCGAAGATATTCTGCCACAGCGGGGAGACGGTGCCTGTTGCGAAGACAATTGCCGTCATGGTGGAGGATGAAGCTGACATCCCTAAACTTGCGGACTACTGTCCGGAAGACGCTGCCGCGGGTGGTCCGGCTAGGACGGATGCCCCCACTTCGGCACCTGTTGCACCTGCCACCGCGGCTGCTGCCCCCTCGGCGCCTTCGCATGGTAAACGATACGGTGGGTCGCTTGAGGAGGCCATTGCGGCGAGCGGACCTGCTGTCGTGCGCATCGCCGCGCGGCTGAACCGCAAAACGCTGGAGTCGCTCCAGTTCACTGGCAAGGACGGGCGATTTTCAAAGAGCGACTTTTTGGGGCAGCCGGGGTTCAACGACGACGAGGTGCCGCCGCCGCCGCCTCCAGCCTCCACAGCCTCCTCCGCTCCTGTCTCCACGAACACTCGTGGTGCCACTCAAAAGCAATCTTCTACCGCGGCAGTGTCATCTAACGGTGGTGTTGTGGTGAAGGCGACCCCTGTCTACAACCTAAAGGTCAGTGACACGACACTCCTGCAGCAACTGCTTCGCACGATGCCGTTGCCAAAGCCAAAAGTCTCTGTTGCAGGGAAGAAGCAACAGTAACAAGGAATAGCAACGAAAATATTATTATATTTTTCGTTGGAAAGAAAAGGTAAAGGAAATAATAATATACCCGGGAAAATGTGTTAGAAGGGCTTGGTGAAGGAAAAAAAAAAATGGGGAAACCAAAACAAATCGTTGCCGGTGTAATAGGATACGGGAGGGAGGGAGGGAGGAGAGACAGTAAGGACGCAAACAAGTAAGGAAAGAAAAGGGAAACAAAACAAAAAAGAAATATGAAGGGGCGTTGTGTGACTCTGACTTGTGTATGGGTAAGCCTTTATGCGGGATGCACAGCAATACGCCTTTGTTGGCAGGTTACGCCTGGTAGTTTGCTTTGCGGCGTATGTTAGCTTTTAAGCGCCCCTCTTGTAATAATCGTGTGATTTTTTTTTTTGGGGACTTGTGTGAATACGGAAATGGTTCTTGCCCGCTTCCTTACGGTTTTCGATCTACACACACACACACACACACACACGCGGCGGCGGTGTTTTCTGCTGTCCGTGGGGAGGGGGGAGGGGGTAATGCGTCTACGCATGGCCTCCTCCCTCTCCCTCTCCTTCTCCTTCTGGTTGACTCCCATTGCGTCCAATTGAGCCATGGGGGGGGGGGCGCTCAATGGGGGACCATGGGCCGTGGTGTGCGACGGATGTGAATAACCCGTTTTTTGTTTTTGATTTTTCTTCTCCTTTGGCTGTTTGCTGACGGTCACGCCGCGCAGTACTGTGGGTGGATTCCTTTATGTAACAACTATCTTTACATTCTCCTCTCCTTCGTTCTACGCCGCCCGCATGCGGGGACAGAGACATAGGCTCGAGGAGAGGTACCACTGAGGGTCGAGAAAGGAAAAGCAGAGGAGAAATAAGAAAAAAGGCTAAAAGACAGGAGAGTCTTGAAGGATGACAATTTCCCCAGAGACGCAGACGAAGCTGAAGAAGCAGGTGGAGTTTTATTTTAGTGACGTCAACGTGCAGAAGGATGTGTTTTTAAAGGCCAAAATGGCGGAAAATGCGGAGGGCTTTGTACCATTGGAGACGCTCTTGACCTTCAACCGGGTGAATTCCCTCACTAAGGAGGCGGCGACGCTGGCCGAGGCGCTTCGGCCGAGCGAGAAGCTTGTGCTGAGCGAGGATGGCCTTATGGTGCGCCGCAGGGAGCCGCTGCCGGAGTCTATCCAGACCGACCACCAAACTGTGTACGTAAAGCCGCTGCCTCCCAGCGCGACACTCGAGGAGCTCACGGAGTTCTTCAACCAGCACGGCACCGTTCAGGCTGTCTGGCGCCGCTATTTCCCGGGAAAGAAGGACGCCGAGCCAGAGGCTCGCACGAAGCCGTCTGTGTTTGTAGTCTTTAGCACGAAGGAGGAGGCGGAGGCGTTTAAGGCAACTCCACCAATGCACAATGGGGTGCAGCTTACGGTGGAGATGAAGACCGACTACCTGACGAGGAAGGCGGAGGAGATCGCCGCCAAGAGCAAGGGCCGCAAGCGCCAACCGCAGAATGAGGAAGATCAGCCTGCCGCAACCGAGACCCGGAAAACGCCCTCTATGCCGTTGAACAGCAGCTACCGTGTGACGGGGTGTGGGACACTGGAGGGCTTTTCCAGCGTGAAGGAGATGTGGCCGGCGGAGGAGCGGAAGGGCATCCGCTACGTCTTTTTACCGGACACTGAGACGGCCCTGCTCATCTTCCAGGACGCCGCGACAGGAGAGAAGATGGTGGCGGACCTGAAGCAGCGCGGAACCACCCACAACGGCAAGCAGCCGGAGGTGCAGAAGCTGGAGGAGGCGGACGAGAAGCAGTTGCTGCTGGACGTTGAAAAGGAAATCGGTGAACGGGCAAAGCACAACCAAAGAGGACGTGGGTGTGGACGTGGGGGCGGACGTGGGGCTGGCCGCCGTGGGCAGAAGCGCTCGCGCGACTAGGCAACACGGTTCACCTCCCTCCGGCTGCCTCCCCGTGTCTCCATTTGTGGAGAGGAGGGAGGGAGGGGGTGGGGGGAGAGAGTGACGGGGCGTGGCCTTCTGTGCGGGGAAGATGCACGTATGGAAGTATGCACCTTAATAACATATTCAACGTGGTATAACTGAGAACCGAAAGGGGGCGGTGGGCAGGGTTGACTCACACACACGCACGCGGGAAATGACACCGAGGTCTGTTAAAGAAAAAGAAGAAGAAAAATGATAATAACAACTTGTTACTACCTATCACTAAGGACAACAGCCACAGGAGAGTGAGAGTGAAGGAACAAAAAAAAAGAGAAAGAACAATAAAAGTAGTATACATAAACGGTGTGAAACGTAACAAGAAAAAAAAAATGAGGGAGTTTAATTAGGTGATGAAGGGAGCAGTACATATCTACCCGCCTACAGACTGCTGTTAATGTGCGTCTACTCACTGTTTTGTTTGATGTGTGGGTTGTCTCGTGCCTGTTTACGTACATATGGATGAATGGAGTTATTCCTGTGCTGCTAGTTGGCAGATTTGGGGTTTCCGTTCAAAGCCATTCGTAGGAATGGGAATTGGGCGTCGGCATGGCACTGTGACGGTGTTGGCGCACCGTGTGGCTGCCACACACACAAACACAAGCACACGTGTTTCCTGGCCACACCCCCACTCACGCTCCGTTTGTGGAAAATGACAGCAGCGATGCTGCCACTGCCTCATAGCACACGTGGGATGTCGCATTCTGTTCTGGGAAGGGGTTGCACGTATCGTCGTTTGTTACGTCACTCTATTTCCCCCTCTATTCCTCCATTTCATCCCTTCCCGTTTCTCATACAACACATCTACTCAAACAAACCCGCAGCTGAGCGCGGTATACGTCAGTGCACACAGAAGCAAGCAAGAAAAAGGAGACAGCAAAAACAAAAGAGTAAAAACAGAAGCGGAGAGAGGTATGGCAGAGTCCAAGACCCCGGAGGCGCCTGTAAATTACCTCGATGTTAAACTGCATGGTGTGCAGAGCCTGCCGCCAGGATGGTTGGCGGATGGGCGGCCACCCGCCTTTGCGGAGCACCCGTTCCGGTACGAGGTTAGCTTCAGCATCGATGGCGAGAACACGTACACGTTCAAGCATGGGCGTCTGCTGCACGAATTGCCGCAGTATGAATCCTACATTGCGGGGGCCACGCCGCCGCCACTTCCGTCCGAGGTGAATGAGATGCTGCGGCACATTCGCGAGGTCCCTGATTCCTCGAACTTGCCTAGTGCTGCAACTTCCAAGGTGACGGCGCCCAGCTTTGGAAAAGCTGAGGGGAGGGAGGAGTCTGCCGTGGAGGCCAAGATTTTGTGGATAACGACGCCCGCCGCCGATGCCGTCTCCGTGAGCTCGGAGGAGCAGGGAACAAAGCGACGGAGAAGGACGGTGTCACCGCCGCCAGCGGAAGATGTGATGCCTCCCGCCGTGCCCACAGACGAGGACATTCCGCCCTGCGTCATTCGTGTGCCGCTTGCGGAGCAGCATGTTGCCGCGTTAGAGGCCCTGGTGTTGGGTGGTAAGCCGCTGGAGCTGCGATTTGCGCGGGTGTTGAGGGGCGGGGTGCCAAACGACTGGGAAGACACACAGCAATGGTATTTTCGTGCCGCCATTCCCGTGGATCTCTCACCCCTCGCAGAACCTGGCTCGCTGCAGCTGATAGAATCGGTGCCACTGATGCCGCTAAAGGAATTCACCCAGGGAGAGGATAGGGGACGAAAGAAGATCTCGAAACGGCCAAAGACTGGTGCGCCATCGCTTTTGTTTGAAGATCTGGACATGGAGGCGCAGCACCCGTACGTCACGCATAACACCTCCGCGTTGGTGTCACTGCGGCTTGAAAAGACCCTCACGCGACTGCCAAGTGATCGTGTTCGGCCGCTGCTGAAGCCGAACAACCTTGTCCCCACGCGAGCTCCGTCCAGCAAGAAGCACCAAGACATCAAGGTGCAGTTTACAGATGTGGTGGAGGTCATTGCCGAAAAGATTATGCGGGATTATAGGGCTGCAGAGATGAAGGGCGAGGGAACCACGAAGGAACAACTGTTTGAGTCCTTTCAAACCTCCGGGCAATTGGTGGCGTACAAGGAGCAACTCACACCGCTGGTTATGAAGGTGGTACGAGAGAAGTTTTTGTGCAACCCAGGTGCCTCCGAGGAAGTCTTAAGTGAACTGACAAACGAATTATACGTGTACCTTCTGGATTGCGTCCACTCTACGTTAAACAAGATGACAGGGAATTTGGGTCGGAACATCACTAGCGATGATGGCCATCCGGCAGCAGGAGGTACACAGCAACCCGCGGAGGAAGATCTTCATGGGGTTGCGGAGCATATATGGCTGGAACGCGCGGATGAGGCTGAGGCACTGCGTGAATACGGACAAGCGGCAAAGTGTCATCAGACCCGCATCGCTAGTTGTAGTTCGTCTGCCAATTTTCCCGCCATATGGAATGATGCAGCTAATTTTTTTGTTCGCATTGCTGACGCCACACTTGCGGAGCAGTGCTATCGCGAGGCGATTGCCCATGACCCCACGTACGTGCCCGCGCTCCTTGGCTACGGGGATCTTCTGCTTGTCCATAGTCGCTTTGAGGAGGCCGCTGTCTACTTGCACGCCGCGGCGGACACCGCCCCTGATGCACTTTGCTGGGGTCATCTCTCATTGCTCTGTGACCTGCATGTGCTGGCGCTGGAGCAGGGCCCACAGTACGAGTCGAAGCGGGCCTACTGGGAGCGTGAGGGGGTGCTGGCGATGAAGGAGGCCATGGGGGCCACGGAGGAGGTGGACTACAACGAGGTAAGCCTTTCTGTCTCGGAATACCTGCTGCAGTTGCACCACCCAGAACTGGCAAACGTCTGTCTCTCGCGATGTCGACCTGGACCCAAGACGGAGGTGCTGTACGCCCGTCTGTTTATGTTGTGCGAGCAGTACCAGGACGCCCTCAGCTCATTGAAGAATGCGGAGGGGCTAGAGTCGTGTGCTGATACGGTGGGTCTCCTTCGCGGAGAGTGCCATGCGTCACTGGGCCACAATGATGAGGCCGTGCGTGAGTACAAACAGGTGCTTTGCCGCGAAGATGTGATCCCCAACCGCCGTTACGGTCCCAGTTACATTCACTTGGGCAACCTTCTTATTGCGGCGGGGCACTACGGCGATGCACTCGGCGTGTTCACGCTTGGCATTCAGGCGTGGCCCTGCAGTTTAATGTGGCTTGGCGCTGGCATCGCGTACTACCGCATGCGGCAGCTGGATGCCGCCGAGGAGTGCCTCAGTGAGTCCAACACGCTCAACAACATCAACCCACGAACCTGGGCGTACCTTGCGCTGGTCTGTTTACACAAGGGCCGCGTGGAGCTGGAGGTGGTCCTGCAGCAGGCGATCATGCAGGGACTCACGGACGCGGCGCTGCTCACCGAACTTGGGCGCGACCTCGTCCGCGCCTCGCACTTGAAGCTTGGCGAGGGGTGTCTGCGGAAGGCTATGGCGATGGAGAAGGACGCCGGCCGTGCCACCTCTGCGACAAGTTGCACCGCTATGTATTACCTGGCCGGCGCAATCGAGGGCACGCGGCAACAGGAGGCGAACGAGATGTACGCGGAAGTCGTGCGCCACAGCCAGAACCAAACCCTGCGGGCGAGGGCGGAGGAGCAGATGCAGCTCCTTGCCAAGTGAGGGGAACGAAGGAACAAGGGAGGGGGGGGGGGGGGGTGCAGGAGACACCACCGCCTCTGCGTTGCTGCCTCGACGCCCGCCATTGTCCGTGGCGTGTATGTATGTTAGACTCTGACGGGGGCAAGCGGGTAGCAGGGGGGAAGAATCGGGGGGCTGCGGCGACAGTGTCGCTGATAGGGCGGGAAGGACGGCGCCGCATGGAACGTGCGTTGCTGCGGCACCCCGCCTCGCCTTTTCTCTTAGCCCATTCCCCGTTCAATGCTCTTCCCTGCGCCCGGCCGTGGCTGTCGGTGGCGGACGGTTGTTTTATCGCCACTGCCTTCGCTCCCGCGCCGTTTGTTCATGCCGTCATTCATCTATATTTTGCTTTCTCTCTCTCTCTATCTATCTATCTATCTCTGCACGTTTGTCTGTCCGTCTGCGCGCCTTCCTCCCACCCGCACGTGCCTCACTGCCTGTTGCGTTGCTTCCGCCCCTTTTTCGTTTTCCGCGTTGTTTTACTTTTGCATAAGCGGAGTAATTTGTGTTAAACCTGAATTCTTGCTGGGGCTATCCACACAGAGAGAGAGGGAGAAGAAAAAAAAAGGAGACGCACGCAAAGAGGAGGAGAAAAGAAAAAAAAAACATTTGCCTGGCCGACTAGAAAGGTAAAATACACTGCTCTACCGCGGCACATAATACACGTTTCCATACACCCACACTGAACACACACTGCAACAAGGAGGGGAGAGACAAAGACCGCGAGAGGGGGGGGGGAGAGTAAGTGAGGGAAATCAAAAGTACTGAGAGTAGAGAAGCAGCGAAGGCGAGGGGAGAGAAGGAGGGAAAGAAAAAGGTGAGGGAAGTACCGCAGGCAAGTGCACACTCCGCTGTCAAGGAGAGTCGCAGGTGCAACTACACATAGAGATACTCTCCACACGTCTTGGGCGCTGCGTGTGGCTCGCACCGCCTCGGTCAAAGTGTTACGGTGGGTGGAACGAAGAGGACAGGCCGAGTGGAGCTCCGTGTCGCGTCCCCTTTGATTTATCCGGCTGGATAAGACTACACACATATAACTCACCTGTGCACGCGCCATCGCCCGCACAGGTCACCACTTCGCTAGCACCGGCACTTGGAGGTGCAGCAAAGGAGCACGACAAGCGGCGGCAGCAACGGCAGAAGCAGCACGAGTGAAGAAAAAAAGACAGAGATACAAGCAAGTCAGTCGTCATCTTTTTTTTATCAATATATTTTGTTTGTTTGTTTTTTTTTTTTGTTGTTGTCTTGTTCGTGTTTGTGGGTCTCATTACCGTCTCGCCACAGTCACATTCACCCCGCACCTCCACCGCTTGCTGTGACGCGGGTTGACGGAAAGAGATGGCGTCAGTGGTCCATAGCGACCGCCACTCGCCCCCGGTAGGCGCCGTTGTCGCCTACGAACGGCTCGAGCACGACAACGGCGCGACGTGGGGGTGGGCGCTTGGCACGATTCAGGAACGTGTCGACGAGCACCGCTGCGTCATTCGCCGCTGGGACCGTGAGGCATGGAGCGATGGCTCCATAGACGGTAGTCAGCACACCATTACTGCTGTCATGCACGAGCTGCAGCGAGTAAACAACCGGATGCGGGCCTCGCAGCACCGCCTCTTTGATGCCGAGAGGAGCATTATTCGGCGGAGCTCCGATTTCAACAACGGCAGTAGCACCAGCTCTAATAATAGCAGCAGCAACGACTGCAACATGAACGGAACCGATGCCTGGGTGCAAGGCTGCGCCAGTCTCCCAGAAGAAGTGGTGATCTGCATCCACGAGATGAAGCACTGCCGTGACAAGTCAAAAAGTCTCAGTGATGAGCTTAACCGTCTAAGGAATTCTCCCTCTGTGGTCCCAAGCGTGATGTGTTTCACACGACGCTGCGGTGAGGAGGAGACCATCCTTAGCTCCTCCATCATCAAGGCTCTGGCCGTGGACGTGGTCGCCCCTACCTGCGTCATCACGGAGGAGGAGGCAGCGTCCATTAAAGCAGGGGCGGATACTTCCCGCCTGGAGCTGCAGCAGCATCTTGGGCTGTTCAGTGAACGCCTCTGCGGCGTGACAGCGGAACTGCACTGCCTCCAGACGTACAACGAGGAACTTGAGGCGCGGATGACGTTTTATCAAGATGCCTTGCTTGAGGCAGCTAAGGAGCGTACTCCAAGAGAGACGCCACACATGCCCGCCGAGAGCAGCCTGGCCGCGGTCAAGCAGCTGCGGGAAATGGCAGGCTGGGATTGGGAGCAGCAGCACGGCTGTAGATGGGTTACGACACGGCACACTATTAATTTCACCTGGGGCGGTTCCCACCTCCTGGTTGCGGATAAGCCGGAAGAACTCCAGGCGACCCTCAAGATGGAGGTGGCCAATGGCCTCCGCGCCCCACCAAACTGTGTGGGCAATGCGACGTTCCAAGTCTCTTCAGAAGGTCTGGCAGCCACATTTGACGTGTTTCACCCCTCCAGTGTGCCCGGCAGTGTGGTTGATGCGCAGCTTCGCGCCCACAGCTTTCCGTACCTCGAGCATCTTCACCACAGCGCGGAGGGACCAAAGCAAGGACTTGATCGTGCGATTGAGGACGTGTGCCGCGTGCTGCGGATCAGCGAGGGAAAGTACAATGGTCTCCGCTTTAGTGAATTCATTGAGGAGCTGACGGACCTCAACATGTTCGCCGACAAGGATGCGTACGAGAGCGAGGTCGGCGAGTTGCTTATGATGCTGGACAAGCTCTACAGCGAAAACCGCACCCTGCAGCATTCCCTTGTCAACTCCAATGCCGAGGTTAGGAAGCTGACGGCCGAGGCGCAGCGCGAGCGCAATTACCTGCAGGTGCGGACCTCCCACCTCCGTGAGGAGATTGCCCGCCTCAACGACGTGATAGCGAGGCTGCGGGAACTGGCAGACCGCCTGGAGAGTGAACTCCAACAGTATAAGATGCAGCACGCCCGCGCGCAACCCACACGCACTACCCGGCGCCTCCCCGATAGGGAGCCCCACGACAACGAGTTGTACTGTATCACACTTCAGGTGTACGATGAAGAAAAAGAGCGTGCCACCAGACTGCAACACACGCTAGAGGAAGAAAAACAAAAAAACCATGCAACGCTTCTTGAACTGCAGTCACAAAACCAGCAACTTGAAGCAATGTCAGAGGCACAAGAAGGCAAGATAAACAAATTAGAGCTAGAACTTCGTGCATTCAGGCAAAAACGTCATGATTCAATCACAGCCAGAAGCAAGGATGGAATTCTTAGCCTTCACTCCTCGCAAGAAATCACCACCGACCCTTCTTCAAACTCCGTACATCCAGACGATATAGACCAGGAGCCACTCTTCAGCGTCACTTTAGACGAACTCAACGCAGTACGCAACACCAACGAGAAGCTAGCTGAGGAAGTTCTCGAGAAAGCAACACTACTTGACAAGTTGGCTGAAGAAATGCTAGAAAAAGAGGCCGAAAATCGAAAGCTGGCTGAGGACCTAGCAGAGAGGGAGGCTGAAAATGAGAAGCTAGCCAAGGAACTCTTAGAGAGGGATGTTTATCTGGAGGGGTTGCAGACTGATACCAGCAGGTCGTTGGGGGGTGTGGAGAGTCGCTGTCGTGCGCTGGAAGAGCTTGTGGCAGCAAGAGATGCGGCTGCTGCGTTGGAGGTGGATGTGCTGGAGGGCGAGCTGGCGGAAGCGCTTGTTCAGTTGAAGGTGGTAGAGAGTGAGAATGCCGCCCTGCACGTATTGCTTGGGGTCAAAAATGCCGAGATGGCGGAAGTAAACGAGGCAGCATTGGGGAACGTGAGGGAGCTGGAGTCCCGTTTAGCCGCGGCAGAAGCTGAAGTGCGGGAGGAGCGCGGCAAGCAGGAGAAGCTGATGAGCACGACGCAAGGAGCATTACGTGCCATGGGGGAG